GACATGATTGTTTGCCTCAAGATGCTGAGTCTAGTGTGAAGAGTCAGACAAGAAAAATCAGTGGTTATAATTTCAAAATGTGTTGTGGTAGGAGCAGGCAACACCAAGTGCCATGTTAAAATTTCAGAGGCACACTCAAGCTCAGCCTTATTACATAAGACACACTGTGAAAAGGTGACACTTGAGCTGAGATTTTAAGGATGAGTAGGAATTAACGATGCAAGTAATGGGGGAAGGGCATTTCAGGTATAAGAAATAGCAAAGACAAAAATATGGAGAGTAAAAAGACACAGCACTTCAAGGGAAATGCAAGCAGGCTGGCATAGCTAGAACAATGGATCAAAAGCTATTCCTGGCAGGAGAGAAGGCACAAAAAGTGTACAGGGACCCAGATCCCAAAGGTACTATACGCCCTTAGGTAGTTTGGCCTTATCCTGATGAAAAAAAAGATTTAGCAGCAGGGTACTAAGCAGGATTTCATTTCAGAAGTTATGGCAGATGGAAGTGGTAAGGTAGGAGGGGTCTCTATCATTAGAGTTCAGGTAACCAATAATATTGTTCTGAGCTGGATTAATGAAGTGCAGAAGAAAAGCAGAAGGCATAGACTGGAGATCAAATTAGAAGGCAACATTGACTAAATGGATGTACGGGGTATAGGAGTAAGAGGTAATAGAATGGTTTCTGATTCCACGTTTGACCGATTATGTAGATGCTGATGCCATTCATCATAACAGAAAAGAGAAGAGGAAGAATAAATGTATTTCAGTTTTTTGTAGTTCTATGGGGCAGGGGGTGAAAGACTATGTGGAAGAGAGAGATGCTCAGTTTTGGATACGTGAGTTTAAGATACCTGTGTCCTTAGTTGAGCACAATGGTTTACACCTGCAGTCCTAGCTACTTGGGAAGCCGAGATGGGAGAATTGTTTGAACCCAGGAGTTTGAGACCAGCCTTGGCAACATATCAAGAATCCATCTCAAAAAAAAAAAAAAAAAAAAGACTATGTCCTAACCAAGTGGCTGTATGAACCTAAGTAGTAGTTAAAACATGAGCAAGAACACTTCTCAGTAAGGGGAAGCAGAATAAAAAGAGGACCAGAGACAAAACCCTTGGGAACACCAATACCTGTAGGATAGACAATGGAGTAGGAAAAAGAAGTAAAAGGGGAGGTAGAAAATGGAAACAGAGGCCAGGCGCGGTGGCTCACGCCTATAATCCCAGCACTTTGGGAGGCCAAGGCGGGTGGATCACGAGGTCAAGAGATCGAGACCATCCTGGTCAACAAGGTGAAACACTGTCTCTACTAAAAATACAAAAAAATTAGCTGGACATGGTGGTGTGCGCCTGTAGTCCCAGCGACTCGGGAGGCTGAGGCAGGAGAATTGCTTGAACCCAGGAGGTGGAGGTTGCGGTGAGCCAAGATGGTGCCATTGCACTCCAGCCTGGGTAACAAGAGCGAAACTCCGTCTCAAAAAAAAAAAAAAAATAGAAAATGAAAACAGAGAAGGAGAGTTTCATTTCGGGTGGGAAGAGAGCAAATAATATTAGAGAGCTTTGAAACATGTTCACTTGCTCTAGCAATATGAAGGGTGGGAGATAATGAGTAAAACTGCTGCAGGTTTAAGAGGAAATGGGAAGTGACTGGTTAGGACATCAAGAACTTGGGCAGGGTAACAAATACAATACTCATTTTGAGAAGTTTAGGATGATTAAGAGAGGACAAAAGGGAGGTAATTAGAAGGGGGACACAGGGACAAGAAGGGATAGCTTCAGGTTAGAAGAACTTAAATAGGATGAGGGAAAGAGCCATTAGCAATTGAGAGATAGAAGATGCTGAATGATACAAGGTCTCCTACAAGGTAAGAGAAATGAGATTTCAGAAGCATAAGACATAAGAACTCAATACATAACAATCTGGGGTCACTTGGTCATGGGGAAAGATATATAAACAGACCTTGCTGACATAACTGTTTGCCTCAGTTTAATCAGGAAAAGAAAACCTACTCTGAGACTGGAGAGAAGGAAGGAAGGAAGGGCACAGATGGATACACTTGCAGGAAGGATGTTAACTGCTACTTCTACTTCACATTTCCTGTCTTGTTGCCCTAGTTCTCCTCCTAGCTTGCAATCTACCAGGGACTGATAAATCAGATAACTAAGCTTATTAGAATTGGGTCAAAGATAGGACAAACAGGCTGCATGGCAATTCTGATTGTGCTTGCGTTCAAGAAATGTGCCAAGCTTTCCCTCCCTCACCCCGCCCCACTAGCCTCTGGGGCAATAACTAGGAACAAAATGCAACCCTGGAGTTTATGAACTTTTCTGACATCGACTTTGGCTGCCAGTTCAATTATCATTTTTTTAACTTGCTTCTTGGTTCTGTTAAGAATCCAGATAGCTGAGGTTGCCAGATGTAACCTGTGAATAGATGGTGTTAAGAGTCCCCAGTTAGCACCTCCCCTTCAATTTCCCAAATTACCACCAAGCCCATAAACTATTAGATGACACGTACCATAAAGCATATGCCTTGGGTTTAATATAACTTGGTTTTTAAAAAATTCATTAGTAGATTAATTTCTTATTCTGGCAACAGACTCATAGTTCTCTCTTTCCCAAATTGGGTATTTGACCTAGTACTGAAACGACTTTCATAAATACTGCCAATAAGGCTTTCATGTAAGACAGATATTCCCAGAGTAGCTCAAAAAGGCAATTCCACTAATACAAAGATCTTTCTAGACACTGTCACTTACTTAAAATGCTCTCAATTAGTATGTGAAATATTAATTTATAATAACTATTGATTTCATGAATTCAACCTTTAAAAATTCTTTGGGTAATGGAAAAAAATTTTGGTAAAACAGTAACTTTAAAGGGATCACATTCTGAAGAAAAGAAAATCTCACTCTATAAGTCGTTTTAACCTGATCTACTTGCCTAATGTATACTTAACACTGTATTGAAAATGCTTCCGGGGAAAAGAAAAGTGTATTTGCAGAAGAATTTAATAGCCACAGAAGCAATAACGATTTTTAAAGATTAAAAAGTTCCATTGCCACTAAAATTTCAATGAGAAGTTTCATGTAGATTAAAAATGCTGTCAATCTTCAATTTTCTGCTAGTTCAGGTATTTTTCAAATACAATTTTCAGCACAAGAACTGGAAAGCTGAGGTATACATTTACAACAAAAACTAATAAAATTCCTCTTAAAAACCAACTGAGGCCAGGCATGGTGACTCATGCCTATAATCCCATTACTTAGGGAGTCCAAGGCAGGGCACAGTGGCTCACGTCTATAATCCCAGCACTTTGGGAAGCCAAGGCAGGCAGATTACTTGAGGTCAGGAATTCAAACCCAGCCTGGCCAACATGGCAAAACCCCATCTCTACTAAAAAAATGCAAAAGTTAGCCGGATGTGGTGGTGCTTGCCTGTAAGCCAAGCTACTCGGGAGGCTGAGGCACAAGAATTGCTTGAACCTGGAAGGAGGAGGCTGCAGTGAGCTAAGAACAAGCCACTACATTCCTGCCTGGGCAACAAAGAGAGACTCCATCTCAAAACAAAAAATTGAGTCAAAACTCTTTTTGGAAGAATCAAAATTCTTAGGTGACATCTTAGGTGAATCACATTCTTAGGTGACATCTTATTTGGTATATACATTTTATATCTATAATCAAACTGTTTTAAGTAAATCACATGCATCTGAAAAGATTCAGGAAGCTACTCAGTATCATTCATGAATATCTATACCAGTTTCAAAGACAAGAAATGGCAATTATTGATGGAGAAAGTTAGCTACCAGGGTAAAAGAAGACTAGATGGGTGGAAGATGAGCCCAAGACAATTTAACATTCTCTACCTAAATAAACAGATGAAATGCTATAATCTTAAAAATGTCTGAGTCTTGTAAGAATTCTTCCTGAAAAACTGCAGGAAACTTAAGTGGTGCATCTTACACTGAACTTATAGTATGTTCTTGATACGTAACAAGTAGCTTCTTATCAGATTCCTTTTAAGATACTAGTATGAAATACTAAGATGCATTCCTCTGAAATGCAAACTATCACTCAAAGAAATGAGTAGCAGGATTTTAAAGCCCCCACCCCCAGGATGAAGAAACTAAGATACCAGAAACAACTTGGCCAAAGACATATGGTAGCTAACTGCAGAGTTTGGAGTCATGATGACTAACTGGCATTCACATGGCTTAACTGGGTAATGCAGAGAAAAGTTACCAGCTACATTGCTAAGTTTTCTTATGTGATATAGTAAAGGGACTGGGAAACTATTAGTATACGGAAATTGGAAGGCTCAAGTATTTTAGGGTGATCTAAGTAAGAGAGAGACAGCACACAATCCTACACTGGTTCAAATCAATAGCTCAATATGTAAAGCTAAAATGGAAAGCTGCAACGGAAAGCTATTGTGTATTATGAAGAGATATTAAATGTCAACTTCAACTTAGGAGTTGAGAACAGTGTACAAAAAGATACTATGAAATAAATATTCTAGGTCACTGGTTCCCTAACTGGCTATGCATCAGGTTCAGCAGGGGAGCTTACACACACACACACACACACACACTCTCTCTCTCTCTCTCTCTCTCTCTCTCTCTCTCTCTCTCTCTCTCTCTCTCTCTCTGTCTCTCTCTCTCTCTCTCTCTCTCTCTCTGTCTCTCTCTCTCTCTCTCTCTGTCTCTCTCTCTCTCTGTCTCCTCATTAGACCCACTGCGTTAAATCCTCTAGGGATGGGGCCTGGAATCTATTTGTATAAAACACTTCCCAGGTGAATCTTTATTCTATAGCCTGCCTACCATCAGTCAAAGCTTATGTATGGGACCATTCTTCCAGATAGTAATATACAGACGGAACATCAGAACATTTTGCAAATAATTTAGTTCTACTTCTAAACAGTTCTAAAGTTTTTTCTTTTGAAAGAGATGCCATTATGTAACATTCAAATCTTGACTTTAACCAACGGGAAAAAATGTGAGCAAATTGCCTTAAGAAATAAAAAAAATCTTTATTGTTTTAGAAGCAATTTTGAGTAAACAGACAGGCAAATATCTAAAGATACCATACATCAACTAGTGGTTTAAACATTTGAGGAAAAAACATGGAAAGTATTTACATGGGCCAGTTTCTTTATATAAATGCTAACACAGGAAAAACACCCAAAACCAAAGAGGGTTACCATTAAGGTATGAACCCAGTAAAACAAATAAAACTAAAAAAGGTACAAAGAACATGTAGCTATAGGAAAAAATAATAGTGTAAATAGCAGTATATAAACTGGCCCATGTAAAATACAAAAATATTCACTGAAGTCAGGTTTTCTATAAAACAGTGTTTATTAGAGGTATTTTACTATGAATCAGGCATATAATCTGAATGTAGAAACTTCTAGAAATATTAACAGCATTCAGTCAGTGCCACGCACTTGTGCTTCCAATTATTTTTTTTTAAAGCTTTGTTTTGACTCATGTGAAATAGTTAAGGCCTACATTCTTATACGCATTATCCATCTTATAAGATTAACAATTTTACACTAAAACACGTTTAAATAAAAAGTAATTTTGAAAAATCACATCTATATTTAATCTTTAAGAAGTGTTTTAAGCTGGTAATGCAGCTAGCTGTAGCTCTAAGAGAGGGGTTAGTCAGGAATCTGATCTTGAGCCATAATGGTTTTCAGCCTAAACAAAGAGCAAATTTAAGTGACAGAAAATATTTATAACTCAGTTATATTGTTATAGAAATACACATGCCAGCATGCAACTGCCTATAAATGTGTGCATATATATACATCTGTATGTGCATACTGATCCATTCAATATCAGTACTTTGGAACCCTTTCTAGTGAATGGGAGGCACATAATCCACCCCTCCAAAAAACCCCCAAAGGAACCTTTCATATATGGCTGTATATTAACAATTTTAATATTTGCTCATACATTGCAACACACACCAAAAAACTTCTAGAAGCAGCAAGAAATATTTGATGTGTTAACTATCAAGCTGATATATTTTGCTTTCTCCTATAAACATTAGGTGGTGCACGGTAATTTGACAATTGGTGCATCTTTCAGAGCACAAAACTAAACACAAAGTACATGAATTAATACTGATTCTACCTTAATGAATAATAACAATGAAAGTTTTGATTAGCACAGAAGCATTTAAATGTGAAGCCAAATTAGCAATGTTGTAGCAATCAATGCAAGCTGGAAACTAAGAACAACTTTTTAATGGATTAAGAGAAGACTAAGACTTTTAAGTTAGAAGTTAGTTTTTTTTTTTTTTTTTTGGAAACGGAGTTTCGCTCTTGTTGCCCAGGCTGGAGTGCAATGGCGTGATCTCGGGTCGCTGCAACTTCCACCTCCCAGGTTCAAGCGATTCTCCTGCCTCAGCCTCCCGAGTAGCTGGGACTACAGGCGTCCGCCACCACGCCCGGCTAATTTTTTGTATTTTTAGTAGAGACGGGGTTTCACCATGTTGGCCAGGCTGGTCTCAAACTCCTGGCCTCAAGTGATTTGCCCGCCTCAGCCTCACCGTGCCTGGCCTAGATGCAAGTTATTTTATAAGTATAAGTGCACTTTGTTATCTAGGTTCTAGAACATTACTGGCATTTCTTAAGAAAAAGAAAAGAATAAAATATATCACTACCAACAAGAAATATTGGAAGACTAAAGAGAAATCTGCATAATTTTAATACTGCATGCAGAGGCCAATTTATGAGCACAAAATACTAATGCCCTCAATTGGCACTGGCAAGCAATTATCTCTAAAGCACCTAAAAAAATGGATTGAAATGCCCAGTTGGAATAGTCTCATATCTTGCAATTTAAAATATTGAAATATCCAATTTTTTAAAAAAGAATTAAACAATAAGATTAATACTTATTCTAAATTTTAAAAGGCTTCTGTATCTTTTGTTATTACAGCTACATAAATACAAATGTATTCAAAAAACATTAGAAAAGCATTTATTGCTAAGAACATAATAATAGCAGCCCCTGTTCCAATCTACTAGTATATCTCTCATAGGTCGAATATGCAGCAATGTCAAATTAGCTAAGTTAACCTGCAAACAAAAATCACCAAAAAAAAAAAGCAAAAGGAGCAAGTACAAATCCACTGTAGAACATGTTGTTCCAACTCGACTACATGCAGGGAAAAACATATCTTTCAAAAATTGTTTTTCCTAAACTATTTTTAGTCTAAATGTCTAAAATGAAAACACTGAAATACTAACTCAAGACAGTAAAATAGAACCTATAATCCAGTGATTTTGTACATCTTTTGCTGTAGAAATAACAGTTTTTAATTCCTTGGTTGGAGAAACCAAAATCGGGCAACTAATTTGTAGTTTACAGTTTTTTGTTTAAGTTTGAAATCCCCCATATTACCCATTCTAAGAGTCGGACTGCAACTAAATATACCTTAAATTGACCAGTATTGCATGTTGGAACTTGTACTTGCTTTTTTCTTTTGTAACAGAGATCACGTATGGATTAGTGTTACAGAGTCTGATATCCAGCATAACTTTTTCTTCTGCCAATTAGGTAAGCAATCACTATAACGATAATCAAGCCTGAAAGACCAGCACCAACTATAATTGGGATTAGAATGGTGTCATCATCCAGCGAACACTCTTGGGCTGTAGGTGAGAAAAAGTGTGTAACAAATAATGAGTATAATCAAAAAAGAATGTCCCAAAGTAAAAGATGTTGATTCAAAAGTCAGAAATGTTCTTACAAGATCAACTTCAAGTAACTAAGACAGGTATACTTTTATGATAAAGCTATAGAAAATTGAGAACTGTTCGAGAATTAAAATCCTAAGACTTACTTTGTCCTTTCATTTGTTTCTGTGTATATATTGCAGATATTCATATATATGAATACACATATATTCATTTACAACTATAAATGCAGCTCATATTATAATGTGTATATGCACACATTATATATGTGTACATATTATACATATACACATGTGTATATATATATGTATATGTACAATTATATATAATATAGTGTACATATAATATGTATACACACACATGTGTATATGTTTGTTTATATTCCAAATCCTTTCCAAAAGAGGAGTATTACTTTATCAGTAATAAAGGGAGCTAATCTAGCCCACTTTCACATAGGCAGATTAGCTCTCAGTGGTACAGTGAATTGTCTTTTGGGAAAGTGGAAACAGTATCAGGAAGGTATCATATGATGAGAATAGCCAGGCTGGCTCTGGAGTCCCTTTAGAGTAGGGGGTCAGCAAGCTGTAGCCCATGGGCCAAATCTGGTCCAAGATCTAAAAATGGCTTTTACATTTTTAAATGGTTGCAAAAAATATTTTGTGACACATGAGAGCACATAAAATTCAAATTTCAGTGTCCATAAATAAAGTTTTATTGGATCACAGCCATAGTCATCTGTTTATGTGTTGCTGTTTTTGTGCTACAATAGCAGATTTGAGTAGTTGCGACAGAGACCATATGGCCCCAAAGCCTAAAACACTTACTGTTTGGAACTTTACAGAAAAGTTTGCAGATCGTGACTTAGAACATACGATTTTAGTGGCTGCAAAGTCAAGAAACTGGGACCTCTTACTAATTTGAGTGTGCTTACTACATTTGTTATCTGGTCAGGGGTGGGCAGCCTAAGGGGGCTATTTTCTTCTATTTCTAGAGAGTGGTCTGATCCAGTAAAATCCAATCAACACTCTTCTACCTTACTGCAATTCTATTTCTTTCCCCATACAGTCAAGTATTACCTATGCGTTGTATTTATATACAGCCAAGAATCTAGTTCCACAAATGGATTATGCATTCAATATCAGTATTAAATGCTGCATATCTCTTTGTGTGATATTTTTAATTCTATGTACATAAAAACCAAAGTTTCAAATTAAGAGAAAGAGCACAGCTCATCTCTATTACAGCTGACTAGATAAAAGGCTTGAACTGATGATACTAATACTGCAAATAATTTTAAACTGTAAACACAAATCTGGACTTAAAATTAGGGGAATAATGAAGGGGAGCCAGATAAAAAGTCCAAAAATAAAGCTAGTAAAGGATCAAAATAATTGAAGTACATAAGCAAAACAGGCAAAAGGTAAAATTAATTATTGAAAATATTTTAAAAGTGTAACTAACATCTTCAGTCACAAGAATGGTAGGGTGGAGACCTCAATTTATTGTGATCTAACCAAGTCAGACTAAGTAGTCAACACCACTGCAAAAGCGGTCGAATGGCTCACAGTATATCTGCTTTTAAACACAGCTTCCACATTTCCTTCCAAACCACAGAATTAATGGTTAAAAAGGATGTGGATGATTTGAATAGCTCTGCTCAATGGAGTTGTGATCCACAAACCCCCAATTTTAGGTAATGGGCTTAAAAGGATAAGTCAATTAAGGAACTTTATGTACTTTTCTTCTTCATGCAGATTTTAATCTTGTAATGCCAAATATGTCTTTCATATTCATATGAACACATTATAATGAGCCCTTCACAAAGGTTTCATTAAAAATCTAATAAATACCACCATTAGCCCTGAGTGATCTTCAAAAAGCCTCATTCACACTGGCATATGCTTTGAAAACTCTTCAGATCATATTGGCTGGCAAAAACATAGTTCATGATATTTGAGGCTTTGCTACTGCTCTTTATCTTTTGTCTTAACAAAATCAGACCCAACTGCTTTCGTTCAGGTATGAAAATGTTTCTCCAGTGAGAAGATGGCCCCAAGAAGCAGAGGCAAGATGCTCAAAATTGCTACTCCCAAGTACCATCTTCCCTACAAACTAAAACCCGTACCTCAAATAAAGCTTCTATCCGTTTTTAGCTTTAAGAACTTCGTTGCAAATGATTTTAAGATAAAAAAAAATCATCTCAGTTGAGCAAAATGATGAGCTAAATACAGAGTCGCACAATGTGCTCAAGGCTATGAGACGTCTGGTGAATTCATGTTCCTCTATTTCAACGTTTAAATGTCTATGATTCAAAGGAAAAGCTACCTATCAGTCAACAGAATAACATAAATTATTAATGAAGTTTGCTTGATTCTTACCTGTAGAATACTTTCCTTCTATCACATTGAAAGGCTGAACCCTTAGATCAAAGGTATTTATCTGAAATGCTCCAGACACTGAAACAGTCTGCTCTTTGTTGCACATATAAGAACTTCCCAGGGGGGCATCCCAGTAGCTGAGATTGTTATTTGCAATGCTGAAAACTTCAAAGAAAAGAAACAGGTTAGTGACTTCTTATCCTATCAACATCAAAAATGGGAAAGGGCCAGGTACACTGGCTCACACCTGTAATTCCAGCACTTTGGGAAAGCCATGGTTGGCAGATAGTGTGAGCCCAGGAGTTCGTGACCAGCCTGGGCAACATGGCAAAATCCTGTCACTATAAAACATACAAAGAAAAAAAATTAGCTGGGCATGATAGTGTGCACCTGTAGTCCCAGCTACTTGGAAGGCTGAGGTGGGTGGTTGGCTTGAATCTGGGATTAATCTGTGGTCGCGCCATTGCCCTCTAGCTTGAGCACAGAGCAAGACCCTGTCTCAAACAAACAAACAAAAAGTGACAGTCCTCAGGGTTTTTCAGGGAAGTATGAGAGCCTGGGGGACAAGATCAACCCACAAAAAGCAATTTTTACCATCAGTAGGTTCCCTTATCTTTCTATAGATGTTTCTATAGTCTAAAAATCAGTCCTATCCTTAATTATTATCTACCATACTTTGAAAAGATGAGATACAGGAAAAGACAGAACATCATAGTTCTAAGTTACTAATTTTAAGGTGTGACCAAGGTATACTTTTTACATAGCATCTTCTGTCTCATTAAATAAGGCACTATTTGGTAATAAGAACATTATGATTTCTAATCCTTTGGGGTAACCCACACTTTTTTTTCCCCCCAGGCCAATGCTTTGCTTACCAGAGCCATTAACCAAATTCATGCTGACATTCACTTCCTTCAGATAGAATCGGTTTTCATTTTTCTGTTTGAAAAAGAGCTTCCAGTTAATCAACATACGACAACTGTCTACAGATAACAGATACAGTTAATATCTACAGAAGAAAATCAATCTAACACTATTACACAGAAGAAGAAACCATGCATTAGAATAAACTGCAACCAAGTAAAAGAGAACTCAAAATCTAACAGAAACCCCTTTCCTCTGTATTTTGTTCCAACTTTTGGAGCAAAAGTATAGTCATGGGGATCTTGGACACTTGAAGGTTTATCCCTTATCCTCCTGTCACTTGCTGAGCCCTCACCACCTCTAGCCTGGATCACAATAACCTCTTAAGGGGGCTCCTCCAGCCTAATCCTCCCTTTTCACTGCTATTACCTTTCTGAAGTACTCATCCGATCAGCCAGTCATTCTTATCATTTCAGAGTGTGAATACTCCAGGAGCTACCAAAATGAACCACACTTCAATCCTGCCTTTACCCTGTTTGCAATCTGCCAGAGAAGCTGAGATAAACATATAAATAACCATATTACAAAAGAGAAAGTGAAAAATCATAAAAATAGGAGAGAAATCACTTCCAACTAAGGGAGGAGAAAAAGTAATGCCAGCTTACGGAAGAGGCATTTTGAACTCGCAGGATTCTCTTAGGAAAAATGTAGGAAAAGGGATATTCAAGAGAGTAACAGCATAAATAAAGGCAGTTAGAAAATATGCATAATCACAAATTTTTATGCTAGCATTTGAGTACTTACTAACTGCCAAGCACTGTTCTTAAAACTTTACATAGGACACTTCGCTGCGTAATTACAACACTCTTATGCAATAGGTGCTGTTATCAGCCCCATTTTGGGATGGAATAATTGAAGAACAGACATGTTAGGTAACTTCCCCCAAAGCTATATGGTTAGTAGTCAGTGAGCTGGAATTTAAATCCCAAAAATATGCCTGCAGAGTCTATGTAATGATGATTACTATGTTCTCCTACCTCACAAGAAGTACATAGAGGACAGAGTGAGGGAAACACCCTTGAAGGAACTGAAGGAAGCCTAAGGTTCATAAAGAGGGAGTGAAGGCTAAAAATGCAGGCTGCGTTCCATGGGAGAAAGGAGGGCCTGAACTACCAGGCCATGGACTTCAGATGTTACCTTGTTGGTAAAAGAGAAACATTGATGGTTTCTGAGGAGAAATGTGCTTTAGGATCGTCAAGCTGATGCAGAACATTGGAGAAGGTGAGGAGGAGGAGCAATCAGGCAGGAGCTGTTTGAATGGTCCAGGTGAGAGGTAATGTGAACTGGACCCAGAGCAAAGGCAATGGAGAGTGAAAGCTAGGGGACAGACTTGAGAGAAATTTCAGGAGGAAGCATCAAGGAGGACTTCATACCCTTATCACATCCCTCCTCTACTTCGGCTACATCTCGGCGTAGCGTTCAAGACTCTCCACAATCTGTCCCAATGACTTTTCCATACTTCACTAAACATATAACATTCTCCCAGCTGCTCTTGATTATGCCCTTTACCCAGGGATAATCTGCACTTTCCCACTTACTCTCCTTATCTCCCCTATATACAATCTGACCCATCCTTGAAGGGCCAGCTCAAATGCCATCTCTGCCATTAAACCTTCCTGACTCTCCTCCAGCCAGAATGAGCCTCTCCCTCCTCCATTCTCCTGCAGCACTTTGTACTCTTCTCTGGTCTGGCATTCATCCCATTTCACATACACCTTCCACAGTACTCTACTGCCACAGAACCAAGTTCAAAAGCCTTGGCATGGCATGTAGGCCTTTCACAAGAATGGTATTATTTGTGGATTTCTCCCATTATCACTAAACTGTGGGTACTTTTAAGAATACTGACTTACTTCTTCGTAACCTACCATAGCAGCCTGCATATAACGTGCTTGAATGCTATAAATTCTCCTAATGAGCATTTATCATGACAGGGCTGAAGGCAATAACAGGCCCCACTGAACTCTGGGGATACTGCAGGTGTCTCTTGATTTTTCAGAGTGCCTGGAGCATGATTAAAATGTCACTATTTTGGATTACATTTTAAAATAGCCTGCTGGGTAAATGAAATATTGTAATTCTTAAATACCAAACACTGCCCTATGAGAGTCAAAAGAAATCATGTTCCTTTTAGGAGCCTACCACAGCTAGAAAGATCAAACTCAATCACTTGAAAGGAATAAACCCCAAATACTACTTTCTTGTTCATATTGACCATAACCTCTATGAGGTAACTTTAAAAGAGAATGTGCCTGGGTGCAGTGGCTCATGCCTATAATCCCAGCACTTTGGGAGGCTGAGGCAGGTGGATCATGAGGTCGGGAGTTTGCGACCAGCCTGACCAACATGGTGAAACCCTGTCTCTACTAAACATACAAAAATTAGCCAGGCGTGGTGGTGCACGCCTGTAATCCCAGCTACTCAGGAGGGTGAGGCAGGAGAATCACTTGAACTTGGGAGGCTGAAGTTGCAGTGAGCCAAGATCATGCCATTGTATTCCAGCCTGGGTGACAGAGTGAGACTCCATCTCAAAAAAAAAAAAAAAAAAAGAGAGAGAGAGAGTATAGGAGTTTGAGAATGTGCCTGAAGCTTTCTTTTACCATAGGGGAGAGGACAAGTTTAATTAGACATTTTCAGTAGTAATTCACTGGTCAGATGGTATGTTTACAGAGGAATTATTTAAATGTTGGAAAAAGGAAGATTTTTGCAAGCCTTTCCAAAATATAACTGCCTAATGTAATCCTCAATTACTCAGCATATATTCTATAGAGGAAAAAGTGCTATAGACTCAAAATACCAAGTTCACATATGAAATAGCAACATACCTACTTTTATATATCAGATGTTGAGATTATTTCCCCATCCCCAAACACAGTAATCTGACTTAAAAGCAGAATTGGTTTTTATCTAATTATACAATGTTTTTAGTTTTAAAACAGTTGGTAGTTCAACAGTTTCCCTCACTGACAGTTACCTTCTATTCCACCACTCCCATTTGCTACCACATGTTCACATATACATCCCCTCACAGAATTATGGGAATAATAATTGCTTCTAAGAAGGTGGAAATGAAGGCCTCCAATGATTAATTTATGCTAGCAAGAAGTAGAACAGGTATGCTTAATCCGAAAACTTCTTTTTAGGTTCCAGCTCTTGATCAACAACAAAAACCTGAAAACTGCCATCATAAATTGTCCCGATTGAATGACTTCATACTCACACTTACACAGAGCTTTGTACATAGTGAGTACTCAATAGATATTACCTATTTTTATTACTGACACTATTACAAATAATATAACCCCCAAGAGGCTTAAAATAGTATCATAGAAAAACATGAGCATATCTAACCAATAACGGAGAAAAATTATCATGGAAATTACTTATATATGGATACATCAGACAATTGTGGTTTTTTTTTTTTGATGTGAGTTAATTCTTACTCCTACCCTAGAGTCTATATAATGGCAAAATGGCCACTCTTGGTGAATATTAATGCAAGAGTCCAGTCCACAGACCACTACCCAGGCTCTGAGTGATGAACAGGGATGAATGGACTATACTTTATAACTGAATACTGTAGAACTGGAAACTAAAGCTAAATATCCCCCGCCCTCCATGCAACGATTTAGACTTTCAGATGTGTTTCTAAGAGATAGACATAACTTTAGAAAATCTGTTACTCACCACAGCAAAGACAAAGTCAAGATACTTAATAGTGCTGCTATTCAGCCTAAGTAGAGCAGTGTGAGACTGGCAGCTGCCGGTGGAGTGAGTAGTATTGGGGTTGATGTTAATAACTGAAGCAACCTTCAGGAGAAGAAGAAAGGGAAAAGGTACAGGTTAGCTATCAAAGTGGCCAGCAAAGCCTTATACTCTAACAAAACCAACTTCAGCGTAGAACAAAAAAATCTTTTGTCTGGATACTTAAATTCATGGTGTCTTAACTTTCAAACAAAGTTGGCATGGGCCCTCAAGCTATGACTCAGATAACTTAAAAAAAAAAACAAGAGGGAAGCTTCTACAGTAATGAGCCAAATGAAAACACACATTTTTATGGAGCACAAGAGCCATCTGTCTCGCTTGTTTAAGTCACAGGATCCTGAAAATCGGATGTTCCCTGGCACTCCCTCTATGCTCTCAGTGCCATCATGTACTTGAACACATCTACACGATCCGAGTCATCAAATAGCTGGAGAAATGGATAGCTGTGCCATTCCTGTATGCCAACCTACAATGCATTTCAGATCAAAGTGTGAAGAAGTTATATTTTAAACTGACCGAAATAAAGGCCAACTGTTTGTACTCTGATCCACTGATGGTAAACAGAATCTAAATCCCAATGAGTACTTTAAACTGCTAGGTTTTCTGCTAGCCAAGACAACCTGAAAGTGACATTAACACTTCATGGTTATAGTGACTCCTAACTAATCATGCTCAACAAGCCAACATGAAATCTCCATTTAAAACTGAATTGGTGCCTCACACCTGTAATTCCAGCACTGTGGGAGGCTGAGGCAGGCAGATTACAAGGTCAGGAGTTCGAGACCAGTTTGGCCAACACAGTGAAACCCTATCTCTACTAAAAATACAAAAAAATAGCCAGGCATGGTGGCACACGCCTGTAATCCCAGCTACTCGGGAGGCTGAGGCAGGAGAATTGCTTGAATTAGGAGGCAGAGGTTGCAGTAAGCCAAGATCGCGCCACTGCACTCCTACGCAGGCATCAGTGCAAGACTACATCTCAAAAAAAAAAAAAAAAAAAAAAAACTGAATCGGGCCAGGCACGGTGGTTCATGCCTATAATCCCAGCACTTTGGGAGGCCAAGGCATGCAGATCACTTGAGGTCAGGAGTTCAAGACCAGCCTGGCCAACATGGTGAAAACCCATCTCTACTAAAAACACAAAAAATTAGCTGTGCATGGCAGTGCACACCTGTAATCCCAGCTACTCAGGAGGCTGAGGCAGGAGAATCACTTTAAACCCTGGAGGCAGAGGTTGCAGTGAGCCAAGATCATGCCACTGCACTCCAGCCTGGGTGACAGTATGAGACTCCATCTCAAAAATAAAACCAAAAAAGAACCAAAAAAAGGAAATACTGGAATCATTCTAGTAACACTACCCTTGGGCTGAAGGTAGGATACACAATATTTGAAATGAAATACGAAAAGGATGTATTGACAAAAATGGACATCTATACCTTATCCTGAGTGATGTTCAGCTGCAGCCCCATGGTAGCCAGCAGACAGGTACCATTGCCATTATTAACTGAATAGGTTCCAGCCTCCGGGTTTTCCTTGGAGTAGGTGTTGTAGTAGGAGATGGCACAGTGGTGTGTACGGTGGGTACCACTGTCGAAGTTTTGTCTTTATCACACAGGAACTCTAAAACAAGCAAAAGGGACAAAAGAAACTAAAGTGGACTTTTTCTTAATTCATAAAGCCAGGGAAAACAAAACAAAACAAATTCTCATAATAGAATCAAAAGGGTTGGATTAGGGGAAGAGAATATCTTGTTAGGATATTTGAAACTAAATTAGGCAGAAGTTCCTAAACTGCTGCTTCATATACAGACAATCTACCTGAGTTAGGACACAGCAGGCAAACTCAGGACACAGCCATATGTTTTACCTACCCACACATGGCCATATACTCATCTTTTTCAGACCCTTAAATCTTTTCATTCCCAAAGAACTCTGCCTGCCTCTGATATGAAATTCAGAGATATTAAGTCTTGAATCTTCTGGTTCTTTACTCCTACATACAGCCACCACAAGGAAGGATACTGTTTACTAGAAAAAAGCTTAGAAACCATCAAAGGACTTAAATACAAATGAACCATTTATCTGCATTAGCCCTATGGCAAATCATAAACATTTCAACCTCTTTTTAGGAAGTGTTAGTCGTTTTCTGGAACTGGTAAATCAGAAATTATTACCTTTCCATAAAGCTAGGTAAAAATTATAAAATCAACTTTAAAAATTCAAGATTAGAACATCAATCTGATTTCTAAGCTGTGGTCTTAGAACTGCTAAAAAGTTGATAATCAAGCTATCTGAGATCTGTTCAAACAATGATTAGGTTTTACCAGCTGAGAACAGTATGTGTAGGGCCTTTTAAAAGACCACTCCACAACGCGTACACCAAAGACTTTAAATGGTAAGTTCCACAAGAATAAGAATTGCTATTATTTACAAAAACTTTATAGCCTAGTAGAAGCTATGAATAAACCTTAATATATAAATGCTTTCACATAACAACTTCAATGAAGGCTACCTGGTATACTCTACTATTAACTTAGGATCCAAGTATAGAAATACATACTTCAAGTACTCACCATTTTGCTCACTGTGCCGTTTTGGACAAAAGCTTGTACATGAACATCCCAATAGTGCTGGACAACATCATTATCTTCCAAAGTTGATAAACTATTGCATCTAAAAAGCTCATTCAATGGAATGTTGATGGCCAGAGGTTGATAAACAGTATGCATTCCTATAAAACAAGATTAACAATGGCTGTTTCTAAGAAGGTGGGAGAGAAGGAATAATATAAATATATCTGTATAGGCTTTCTTCTTCTCTCTGCCTGCCCCACCCCAGGCCCAAAGTGACAAAGGGTATAGCATGCTCAAGGGCATGACCAGCTCACTGTGGCTAAAACATAAGGAGTAAGGGGAAAGAAGAAATGGGGGTTAGGGGCCAGGCGCAGTGGCCCATGCCTATAATCCCAGCACTTTGGGAGGCCGAGGTCTCCTGATCACCTGAAGAGGTCAAGATCACCTGAGGTCAGGAGTTTGAGACCAGCCTGGCCAACATGGTGAAACCTCGTCTCTACTAAAAAGACAAAAATTAGCTGGGCGTGGTGGTCGACACCCATAATTCCAATTATTCAGGAGGCTAAGGCAGGAGAATTGCTTGAACCCAGGAGGCGGAGGCTGCAGTGAGCCGAGATCGCCCATGGCACTCCAGCCTGGAAGCAGAACTCTGTCTCAAGAAAAAAATAAAAAAGAAAGAAATGACAAGGGCAAAATTCTGTCTCAAAAGAAATAAAAGGAAAGAAAGAAATGGGGGTTAGACAGGAAAGAAGATAAGTTACAGGTGATCATTCTTTGAAGCATCTTCTATGATCTGAGGACAGTTTGGGCTTTTCTTTTTAGCAGTGGAGGGCTAGCTTCAGTTTCAAAGCAGGAAATAACACATATATAATTTATTTTAAGAAAGATAGCAAATTTGTAGGGGATAGGCAGGAAGGAAACGTTTTCAGGCAAGCCACTTAAGAGGGAAACCAGAAGGGTAATGGTTAAGGTGAAGGGAAAGGGAGGGTTGCCTAAACAATGGTGTGAGGTAGTAGAAAGAGCACAAAGAAGCCAAACTGAAAACAAAGAGTCAACAGGACTTAAAGACTATAACTAAGGAAGCAAGAGGCCAGGCGCAGTGGCTCATGACTGCAATCCCAACACTTTGGGAGGCTGAGGCAGGAGGATCACCTGAAGTCAGGAGTTCAAGACCAGCCTGACCAACATGGAGAAACCCCGTATCTACTAAAAATATAAAATTATCCAGGTGTGGTGGCATATGCCTGTAATCTCAGATACTCGGGAGGTTGAGGCAGGAGAATTGCTTGAACTCAGGAGGCGGAGGTTGCAGTGAGCTGAGATCATGCCACTGCACTCCAGCCTGGGCAACAAGAGTGGAACTCTGTTTCAAAAAAAAAAAGGAAACAAAAGCGATGGATTAATCATGGATTTGTAGAGTAAACCCTTATTTTTATGCTACTGTTCCCAAGTAAGTCATATTAACTCCAATAAGCTTATAGAACCTCTTCCTGGATGAAATTTAAAGATGATCCCATTTCAGGGAATCTTCAGAATATGAAAGCAGTAAGTTACAGCCATTTTGTATAGTTTTTATTAGCTTCCCTATAGCGAAACTTCAAATGAAATGATCACCCAAGTGGTTTGGCTTCGTTTGGAGAAGTAGCAAGAAAGGAAACTATCCAAGGTCCTTAATACAGGCCGGCTGCCTTCTGTGCCTCTCCATCACTTAGCAAGCAGCCATATAATGCTGCCTTGGCACCCCCTAATGGCCATGGGATTTTAAAAAAAAAAACAATGAACTAGAACATTTTTCCCAGAACTGCTTCTCACCGTTAACAAAAATGAATAGATACATGAACTGGCTGTATATAGACAGCCGTCAAACACAAATGAGCGAAAAAAACAACTTGCAGATATATTGGAGTTATACAATGAATAGCTTTTTTAAACTGTGTATGCTTATGAACATGTACTTACGTAGTAAAAATAAACATAAAGATAGAAAGCTTATACCCCAAATTCATGAGAGTGTTTGCCTCTTAGCAGGCAAGGAGGAAAATGGGTCTGGGGAATGGAGACAAAAGAAATATCAAGCGTATCTTCAACATTTTATCTTTTTATTCAAAAAGTGACACAAACAATAAAAAAAACAGCACTTATTAATTCTGGATAATGGGTACATAAAGGTCTGCTATATTATTCTCTGTACATATACATAATCTTTATGTATGTGTGTGTATACACACACACACACACACACACACACACACACACACATATAGGTAGGGCCCTTTAAAAGACCCTTATTATATATATATAATTTACATATATAATTTTTTTTAGATGGACTCTTGCTCTGTGTCCCAGGCTGGAGTGCAGTGGCATGATATGAGCTCACTACAACCTCTACCTCCTAGGTTCAAATGGTTCTTATGCCTCAGCCACCCAGTAACTGAGATTACAGGCACACACCACCATGCCTGGCTAATTTTCCTATTTTTAGTAGAGACGGGGTTTCACCATGTTGATCTCAAACTTCTGACCTCAGGTGACCCACCTGCCTCAGTCTCCCAAAGTGCTGAGATTACAGGTATGAGCCATTGCACACAGCCAGTACATTTCTATATTTTAATCATGCAAAATTTTTAAAAAAGAAAAAAGCAGCTTCAATGTTACCAAATTATCAGATGCCTAAAAATAAATTAGTAGTTTTTTTATTTTTTGAAATGAGGGTCACTATGTTGCCCAGGCTGGTCTCATACTCCTGAGCTCAAGCGATCGGCCTGGGCTTCCAAAGTGCTGAGATTACAGGCGTGAGCCACTGCACCTGGCCTAAATTAGTATTTTGGGGGGGTGGAAGCAGGGGACAAGGTCTCACTGTGTTGCCCATGCTACAGTACAGTGCCGTGATCTCAACTCACTGCAACCTCCACCTCCCAGGTTCAACTGATTCTCCTGCCTCAGCCTCCAAGTAGCTGGGATTACAGGTGCGTACCACTATCGCCCAGCTAATTTTGTGTTTTTAGTAGAGACAGGGTTTCACCATGTTGGCCAGGCTGCTCTCTAACTCCTGACCTCGAATGATCCACCTGCCTCAACCTCCCAAAGTGCTGGGACTGCAGGTGTGAGCCACCACACCAGGCCATAAATTAGTATTCTTGAAACTCTGAACTGTATCAAAAACAACTATCAATAGTCCATTTCAGGAAGTCATTTAACATTCCAAATAGTTTCAAATATCTTATTACATAGAAAGTAATAATTTAAAATCTTTGTTTTAAATAAAAGGGGAGAAAGAGAAGTGTTAACATTTCAGGGTCCATAGTTTTTCTATCCAAATATGTCAGATTAAACACCTCCTAATAACTGCTAACAACTGCTGCCCCCGTGGTCCAGTCATTTGTTACATCGGCCCTTGATTATTATAACAGTCTGTTAAGCTGGCATCTCTGCCTGCAGTCTCCTCACCTCTCAACGAATCCTGCAGAATTTCTTTATAAGCTACTGTCTCTGCTTTGTTATATCATTCTCCTGCTTTAAAAACCTAAAATGGTTCCCCAGTGCCTACCCCATCAAGCTAAATATCTTTCCTTGGCTTCCAAGGCCCCCTATAATTTAGGCCCACTGCCCTTAGCCAACTTTATTTTTCTTCTGCTACACACACAACTTCCGTTTTAAGCAGGCAGTTAGTTCTCCAATTACTGCTGCATATGCTCTGCTTCCCCTTGCTGGAAACATCCTGCTCAAAATCCTCTGCTTACTTAAATTCTACCATTAGCTGAGTTGCAGCTCAGGTTCTACTTCTCTACCATGCTTTCTCACTACTCTAACACACACTGAGTCTTCCTTTATCATTCCTCCTAATCAGGACCACTTGTGGGAATGTGGGAACACTTTTAAATCAGCCAGTCTTCTTTTTTTTTGTTTTTGAAACAGGGTCTCTCTCTCTCTCTTTCGCTGTGTGTCACCCAGGCTTAGTGTAGTGGTGCGATCATAGCTCATTGGAGCCTCAACCTCCTGGGCTCAAGCGATCCTCCGCCCCAGCCACCCAGCTAGCTAGGACCACAGGCACACACCATCCCACCCAGTTTTGTTTTGATTGTAGAGACGAAGTCTGACTATGTTGCCCAGGTTAGTCTTGAACTCCGTGGCTCAAGCGATTAGCCCGCCTTGGCTGCCCAAAGTGCTGGGATTACAGGCATGAGGCACTGTGCCCAACCTAAATCAGGCACTCTTAACCACAGGGATCCACATTTGGACTCAGGGACTATGTTCCATATGCAAAGTTTACTGCATACTTTTTCTTTTTTGAGAGAGAGTCTAAAGGTTTCCTTGCACTGTCAGAAAAGATTTATGAACCCTCTATTCCTTCAAACAAAAATGCAAACAACAGCAAAGTCAGACTGAGCTCAACGTTTTCCAATTTTTCCATGTAACTTGGGAATCGCATTTAGCTTTGTCTCCCCAGCTCATTCATAGGCTACTTGAAAGTGAGGGGCAAATCTTATACTAGCTCTGAAAGGAAAATTAGGGCACAAAGATAAACTGATAAGAGCCAATAACCATTTGTTTTAGTTATACTCTCAAACTAGATTAATAAAAAGAATGCTAGGATTCGATTTCTGCAATACCTACCAAGTCTTACATGAGCTTATTTACTTCTGGTTCTTTTGAATATGATCTTTTGATATCCCTAAGTCCAAATGAGTTATTAATCCCCAGGTCTAGGCAACTAAAGCTCATCTACCTGTGTTTCTAGGGTCAGAATGAAACATTGCCTGTGAGAAGAGTTAAGTTATATAAATACCATATTAACTCAATCTCAGTGGGTGGAGGGGGTGGGAGAAAGAAGAGAATTATATCCCTAACAAAATTAAAATCTCGACCAGGTGTGGTGGCTCACACCTGTAATTCCAGCATTTTGGGAGGCCGAGGTGAGAGGATCATCTGAACTCAGGAGTTTGAGACCATCCTGGCCAACACAGTGAAACCCCATCTCTACTAAAAACACAAGATTAGCCAGGCACGGTGGCATGTACCTGTAATCCCAGTTACTCGGGAGCCTGAGGCAGGAGATTTGCTTGAACCCGGGAGGCAGAGGTTGCAGTGAGCCAAGATCAGGCCACTGCACTCCAGCCTGGGTGACAGAGCAAGACTCCATCTCAAAAAAAAAAAAAAAAATTAAAATCTGTACACTCTATATCTTCAAAATATTTTAACATGCATTTCAATTCTGGGAATTACTAGAATGGCCTAGTTGCCGGTGCCTTCCCAAGTTCATTTTGACCTGAAATTGTCTTAAAATAATAGCAAATGTTGACTTTAGTCTCCCCTTATCCATGGTTTTGTTTTCCCTGGTTTCAGTTACCAATGGTCAATTGAGCTTTGAAAATATTCAATGGAAAATTCCAAAAATAATCAATTCATATGTTTTACAATGTATGCCATTCTGAGTAGCATGTTGAAATCTCTTGCTGTCCCGCTCTGCCCAACCAGGAACATGAATCATCCCTTTGCCCAGTATATCCACGTTGTATCCGTTAGCCACTTAGTAGCCATCTTGGTAATCAGATAAAAAGAAAACATAATATAGTCAGGCGCGGTGGTTCACACCTGTAATCCCAGCACTTTGGGAGGCTGAGGTGGGTGGATCACCTGAGGTCAGGAGTTAGAGACCAATGTGACCAACATGGAGAAACCCCGTCTCTACTAAAATACAAAATTAGCTGGGTGTGGTGGTGCATGCCGGTAATCCCAGCTACTCAGGAGGCTGAGGCAGAATTGCTTGAACCCAGGAGGCAGAGGTTGTGGTGAGCCGAGATCATGCCACTGCACTCCAGCCTAGGCAACAAGAGCAAGACTCCATCTCAAAAAAAAAAGAAAAAAAAAAAGAAAACCATGGTATTTACTGTTTAGCATTCAGTACTAACTGCAGTTTTAGGCATCTACTGGGGGTCTCAGAATGATACCCCCGAGTGTAATGAGGGACTACTACTATACCTTTAACTAATCATTTACTTTTCAATCAAAATCCGACCTAAACGAGAAAAAGATTTGAACAGGAGGCATTTCTCCTAGTCTCAGGTTACTTAACTTGTACACATTTAAAATAGCTATTAGCAGCTAGGTGCAGTGGTGCATGCCTATAGTCCCAGCTACTCAGGAGGCTGTGAGGCAGGAGGATCGCTTGAATCCAGGAGTTCGAAGCCAGTCTAGTCAACATAGTGAGATGCCCCGCATCTCGAAAATAAAGTAACTATTAGTAAAGCATTTTCTCATTCATCAAAACTTTGCTTAGTGCCTACTATTGAATGAAATAATAGTTAAATATATGAATTCTGCAGGTCAATAGGCTGCTTCAAACACCAGCTCACCCCCTTACTAGACTCTGTGATGTTTGGAAAAGTCATTTAATTGTATCATTTCCTTTACCTGTAAAAATGAAGCAACGTCTACTTTCCAGGGTTGCTGTTAAGGATTAAGTGAGGGCCAGGTGTGGTGGCTCACGCCTGTAATCTCAGCATTTTGGGAGGCCGAGGTGGGTGGATCACTTCAGGAGTTTGAGACCAGCCTGGACAACATGGTGAAACTCCGTTTCTACTAAAAATACAAAAATTGGCTGGGTGTGATGGTGCACGCCTGCAGTCCCGGCTACTTGGGAGGCTGAGGCAGGAGAATCACTTGAACCCAAGGGGTGGAGGTTGCAGTGAGCGAGATCACGCCACTGCAGTCCAGCCTGGCGACAGCGAGACTCCATCTCAAAAAAAAAAAAAAGGATTAAGTGAGATGCTGCAGGTAACACTGTTAGGGTAATGTCTAGTACACAGTAAGGCACTCAAGCAGTGACAGCAAATATCATCACTGTGTTGGATGGTGTCATATGTGCTCTGCATGGGGTCGGTGGGAGGGGTATAAAGACATGAAGTTTCCATTCTAGTTAGGAAGATAGACATTCATAACACTTTTTAAATTGTTTACATTTTATCATTAATAGAAAGCAAGAGAACATAACACAAATCCATTCTTAAGGTTACCTTTATCTTTAGCATCAGGAAATGTTGTGTTATCACTAGTGTTGTAGGAAAATGAGATGCTGTCAATTGAATAAGTAGATGCCGCCTTGGTAAAATTCGCAATCCAGGAAAAGCCAGATCTAAACTGCACAGCTATTCTGGGACCACTCTGATCGTCTCCACAATGCTTCCATTATATGTCACAGCACCAAGGTCTGAAATGGTTTGGGTTTTCTAAAAGAAATAGAAGTTTGGGGGTGAGAAACAAACAGGCCGCAAGGAGCACCAAGCATTTATGCAGGGAATGCCACTTTGGCCTAAATCATACAGTCTCCATGGCCAGGTTGCCCTTTGCCTGGTTTCCTGTGTAAACCAGTCCCTGATTCTTCAGGTACAAACCTCTCCTCTGGACAAATCCATGTATATCTACAAAGAAAAGCTGGCTTGAACTGCTATTCTTAAACTGATTTTTTTTTAAAATTAGGTTGTAAGTATTCAGGACCTTAACAAAAAGAAAATCAAAAGACAAAGGGATTAAGAAGAGATGCCAGCCAGGCATAGTGGCTCACGCCTATAATCCCAGCATTTTGGGAGGCCAAGGCGAGCAGATCATGAGGTTAAGAGTTTGCGACCAGCTTGGCCAGCATGGTGAAACCCCGTCTCTACTAAAATACACAAAATTAGCTGGGTATGGTGGTGCGCATCTGTAATCCCAGCTACTCGGGAGTCTGGGGCAGGCGAATTGCTTGTACCCAGGAGATGGAGGTTGTAGTGAGCCGAGATCATGCCACTGCACTCCACTCTAGGCAACAGAGTAAGCCTCCATCTCAAAAAAGAGAAGAGATTCCAAAAAGGGGGAGATTTTAGTATTAGGTTGGTGCAAAAGTAATTGTGGTTTGTGCCAAAAAAAATCGCTTACTTAGGTTGGTACGGAAGTAATTGTACTTTGTTTCTTTAATGGCACAAACTGCAATTACTTTTGCACCAACCTAAGTAAGCGATTTTCTTTTTTCTTTTTTGGAGATAGAGTCTCGCTCTGTTGCCCAGGCTGGAGTACAGTAGTACAATCATGGCTCACTACAGACATGACTTCCTGGGCTCAAGCAATCCTCCTGCCTCAGCCTGATGAGTGGCTGGAACTACATGTGTGTGCCACCATGCCTGGCCAATTTAAAAGTTTTTTGTAGAGATGAGGTCTTACTATGTTGCCCAGGCTGGGCTCATGCAATCCTCCTGCTTTGGCCTTCCAAAGTGCTGGGATCACAGGCGTAAGCCACCACACCCAGAGGGGAAGCTATTTTATAAAAGGGCGAGCTTTGGTGCTAGTACATTTTAAACACTTTACAGAAATAGTTAGACCTGAACACCATATAGTCTTCAGATTATTTGCCCTTAACCAACTCCTACAAAAACTCCCAAGAACCAATGAATCAGAAGAAATATTCATTCTAACATTAAACAGAATAACTTCTAAGGGTGTATGCTAAAAAAATCCCAGAGTTTAAGCGTTAAGTCAGTCAATATGGAATTTCATTTTTATACATGTATCTAAAGGATAAAAAAGTCAATTAAATTTCTACTATAAAACTCAAAGAAAAATTAAAATATTTACTTACATAAGTTTTGTTTGTAGTTTCATAGCGTACTCTGAAGGTCATCTGCCATTTTGCATAAAGGCAAGTGGCTTTTCCTGAATCTTGCAGAGTAAGTTCCAATGCGTAAGACCGCAAGGCTCCTGGATTCATTTTTTAAAAATAAGATTTTAAAATCATACTACAAAAGAATATATAAAATAAAAACAAGCTCTATCCACCACTGAAGTTCAACCAGCTCTAAAATGAAACAAAAGCATTTATATCTGTACATATATACATATATGTATATGTGTGTGTGTGTGTTTTGTGTGTGTGTGTGTGTGTGTGTGTGTGTATAGTATCCTGCTGATTGTTTTTCTTTTTCTTTTTAACAGAATCCTGTTGATAAAGTTGGCATTATCCCTTACCAAAAGAATGGTTACTAGACCTAGGATGCTTAGGTAATGGCTCACACTGGTGACATTTATTTGCTTTCTACTTTCAAATAATCATTTCCACATGCATTTACACCTTACTAGTTTTGTTTTAGACAGTTACAGTTTGCCTGTTAGGACTTGTGATTTTTGAGGTAAATGAGGTAAGAGGAAGGCTGGTAGGGGTATAAAACTTCTCTCAAACCAGCTGGTGAAATATTCTCTGCAAAGATAATGATAGATCTGATATGCTATCATCTAGTTGCTTTAAATCCTGTTGCAATCTACATAACCTATGACACGTGGATGTCTTCCCAAATGATTTTATTCTGATGTGTTCAGATACTCTGAGTATCATGTAACCAAAGAAGCAGAGTTGCAAAGGGCTGTTAAATCCATAAGAAAAACGTGAATTATTTGTTGTTGCTGTCCAGTGCCAGCGCTGCCTCTCACTTGCTGAGCTCCAGCTGAAGGAGAAGGGTAAGTCAGGAGGTCTCTATACCATGGCTCGTACAAAGCAGACTGCCAGCAAATCAATCGGTGGTAAAGCACCCAGGAAGCAACTGGCTACAAAAGCCGCTCGCAAGAGTGTGCCCTCTACTGCAGGGGTGAAGAACCTCATCGTTACAGGCCTGGTACTGTGGCACTCCATGAAATTAGACGTTATCAGAAGTCCACTGAACTTCTGATTTGCAAACTTCCCTTCCAGCGTCTGGTGCAAGAAACTGCTCAGGACTTTAAAACAGATCTGCGCTTCTAGAGGCAGCTATTGGTGCTTTGCAGAAGGCAAGTGAGGCCTATCTGGTTGGCCTTTTGAAGACAACAACCTTTGTGCTATCCATGCCAAACGTGTAACAATTACGCCAAAAGACATTCAGTTAGCACACCGCATACATGGATAATGTGCTTAAGAATCCACTATGATGGGAAATATTTCATTCTCAAAAAAAAAAAAAAATGTTCTCTTCTTCTGTTATTGGTAGTTCTGAACATTACATATTTTTTTCCCATGGGGTCAAAAGGTACCTAAGTATATGACTGAGTGGAATACTAGGGGACAGAAGTCAGGTATCAGCAGTTTCTCCATTTTCATTTGTGTGTGAATTCTTAATATAAATGCAAAGATGTAAAGCGTTAAAGCAAGTTAAAATGTTTCAGTGAACAAGTTTCAGCAGTTCAACTTTATAATAATTATAAATAAACCTGTTAAATTTTTCGGGACAATATCAGCATTTGGATTTTTTTTAAAAACAAGTGAGTTTCTTATTGATGGCAACTAAATGGTGTTTGTAGCATTTTTATCATAAAGTAGATTCCATCCATTCACTTTACTTTTCTGAGTTACCCTACATGCAAGTACATGTTTTTAATGTTGTCTGTCTTCTGTGCTGTTCCTGTAAGTTTGCTATTAAAATACATTAAACCATTTTTAGAGGAATATCAAGAAGGCATGCCTCAGCAACAGCTTTCAAGTTGCATACAAGAGCCTATCGTCATGCTCTGGAGTCCTGGCTGCTTTGAAAGCCAGAATATTATACTAAAGCTTGTAGTTACTGACAGTGACTAAATGCATTGGCTAAGACTCAAAAAGACCTTGTGAGGCCTAGGTAGGTTTTATGATCATTCTTTTCTAAGTACAATATGGAAGGCAGCTGTCATACTTACTGATCCAAGGCTACCCTGCCGTGGAGCCAAGAACTCCAACTTACAATTTTAATGAACTGGAGGCTTTGCTTTTTCTATGTAGTCTTTCTCAGTCTCGTTTAAGGTCTCTAGCTTTAGTATTCTATTCTCCTTGTATTCAAAGCATGCAAAACTAGTGAAAATAACCAAGAAAAGCCTCACATACATTAATCATTTTCTTTCCAAAGACATTAGAATAACAGGAAGAAGACCATGGAAAATAGTAATAGTATCAATGTGTCCTGAAGTGTGAGAACTGAAGTTTTATGAAGCAGAAGGTACAGGTTGGGGTTCAAACTTATCATTTAAAATCCAAATCAAGATAGTATACCTGGTGGCCCGTAAACAAGAGATGAGAAATACCCTGAGGGTTCTGGCATACTCTGTTCCATTCCCTTCACGGCCTTTCTGCCTGGGAGTGCAATTCTTTCCACTTCTTGGTCCCCAACTCTAATTGCACAGGGACCACCTTTACTCAATATTTCTCGCCTCAAACTCAGCAATTCCCAAACTAAAATTCATTATTCTACTTCCTCCAAACTGGGCCCTCCTCAGCCTTGCTGGCTCTAAATGAAGAGTGGGACCAGTCACTCAAGCTAGGTTTCAGAAACAGCCTCTACTTCTTTCTCTTCTAGAAGTCCTATTGATTTTTTTCCTTCAAATCTTCTCTTAAATCCAATCTTTGCCTTTTATCTCCACACCCCATTCCTAAATTCTGACAGACAACTCCTAGATACCCCTAAAAGTGCTGCCAGATTAATAATCCTTAAGTACCATTTCCTTTTAGGACACGTTCCTGTTCAAAAACTTTATTAGCTCCAAAATTCCCAAATGAAATTTAAATTCCTCTGCCTGACTTTCAAAGTAATCTTTAATCTTGTCTCATCCTATTCCCTAAATTTTCTCAAACTCTTTTCCCAGAGCACATCCTTTAATCCAGTTAAACTTGTTTCCACTGAGCTCAAATGCCATACTCCATTCAGCCTCTACCCTGGGCTTCTATTGTTCCTAACACTTGAAATCTACTTTCTTCTATTGGCCTAAATGCTCACCTCAAAGATGGATTTTCCTCTCTGTTGGTTGTCCAAAATCCAAACACTCCTTGTCTCCTTTCTGGCAGAAATCACCACCCACTATAAAAACTGAAACACTGGATACTTGCTTTCCCAGACTCCTTTGCAGTATGGAGGACCACTTGTGCTAGGCTCTGCCTAACAAAGGTATCCACCCCACGCTTTGAAAGGAGGGCTGCAAATGAAGCCAGGAAGGGAACGAGGTGGGAGGCAGTTGTGGAACAGCAGCAGCAGGATCAAGCTCCCAGGCAAGGGAGGCAGAGTAAACTGCAATTTCACACTTGGCAGTGGTAGTGCAGTTCAGCGGCATGATCTGGGGTGTTGAATCCTGAATTGGGATTTGGTATATACAGTCAGGAGCACCAGAAATTCTGAGTTACCCAATATACCCCATTGAATAAATATTTTGATATGTAACATATGTATAGAAACAGGCACAGAATAACAGATATAGGGAAAAGTGCATATAACATTAAGTCTACAGCTCAAACAATTTTCACAAACAGAACCCACTTGTATCAAGAAACAGAACATTACCAGAACAGGTGCTGACCCCCTACACAGTTGAAAATCTGCATAGCATTTTTGACTCCCCCGAAACTTAACTACTAATATCCTACTGTTGACCAGAAGCATTACCAACAACATAGTTGATTAACACATATTTTGTATGAGATATATATATATATATATATAAAACAAACTGTGTTCTGACAACAAAGCTAGAGAAAAGAAAATGTTAAGAAAATCATAAGGAGGGCCAGGCGCAGTGGCTCACATCCAGCATTTTGGGAGGCTGAGGCAGCAGATCACTTGAGGTCAGGAATTCAAGACCAGCTTGGCCAACATAATGAAACCCCTGTCTCTACTAAAATATAAAAAATTAGCTGGGTGTGGTGGTGAGTGCCTGTAATCCTAGCTACTCAGGAGGCTGAGGCAGGAGAATCCCTTGAACCCAGGAGGTAGAGATTACAGTGAGCTGAGATCACACCACTGCACTCCAGCCTGGGCAACAGATAGAGATTCTATCCCAAAAAAAAGAAAGAAAGAAAGAAAAGAAAATCATAAGGAGGAGGATGAAGAGGCGGGGTTGATCTTGTTGTCTCAAGGGTGGGAGAGGTGAAATAAAACCCATGTATAAGTAGATCCACACAGTTCAAACTTGTGTTGTTCAAGGGTCAACTATACTTCCAAAGCTCTCCTCCTTTCCCCTTCCAGTTACTATTTCCCTCCTAAGGGTAACCATTATCCTGATTTCTTACACACAGATTAATTGCATCCATTTTTCAACTTGATATAAATAAAATCATTCACGATGCTATCTTTTGTGTCTGGTTTCTTTCACTCAACTTTAGGTTTTGTGAGATTCACCCATGTTGTGCATAATTGCAGTCTGTGGTCACTGCTGTATAACTTTTTATGATCGGGTGAATACAGACCAGGCGCTGTGGCTCACGCCTGTAATCCCATTACTTTGGGAGGCCGAGGCAGGCGGATCATTTGAGGTCAGGAATTTGAGACAAGCCTGGCCACCATGGCATGGGTTTGGCTCTACTGAAAATATAAAAATTAGCTAGGTCTGGTGGCACATGCCTGTCATCTCAGTTACTCAGGAGGCTGAGAGTGGAGAATCGCTTGAACCTGGGAGGCAGAGGTTGCGGTGAGCTGAGATCGCGCCATTGCACTCCAACCTGGGCAACAAGAGCGGAAGTCCGTCTCAAAAACAAACAAAACAAAACAAAAAAAACGATTTATCTATTCTGCCTTTAATGGACATTTATATCGTTTCTAGTTTGATTCTATTACAAACGCGGCTGGAAACATTCTTGCACATATTGGTAAACACATGTATGTGTGTCTGTTGGCTGTATATCTAGGAATACAACTGTGGGACCAAAGGGTATACATTATATCCCAGTATCTTTTTAATAAATTCTTTTCTGCTTAAAATCAATCAGATTTTATTTCTTT